GTTCTGTTCTTCACTCATCACCTACCTGACAGCTGACACCTCACACCTGTTTCTCACCTGCAGGTCAAACAGGAGGAGACACAGAGGATGGAGGGAAGAAGGAAGAAGGGAAGAAGGATGAGGGAAAGAAGGAAGAAGGGAAGAAGCATGAAGTAAAAAAGGATGAAGGGAAGAAGGATGAGGGGAAGAAGCATGAAGTAAAAAATGAAGGAGGGAAGAAGGAAGAAGGAGAGAAGGATGAGGGAAATAAGGAAGAAGGGATGAAGCATGAAGTGAAAAAGGAAGAAGGAAAGAACGATGAAAGGAAGAAACCTGAAATTAAAACAGAAAATGGCAGGAAGGGTGAAGGGGGGAAGGATGAATCTATTGCACTGCAAGTTTTACCTGTGCTTCTTGTTGCTGTTGTTAGTGGTTTTTTTCTCATCTAAAATAAATAAATAAATAAAAAAACAAACAAACAAACAAACAAACAAAAGAACAACAACAGAAGCACAGTCAAAAAAGGTAAAAGGCTCTGCTCATCTGGATGTAGAGTTTTCATCACTCGTCCAAGTGACTTCTTCAGTCTCAGCTGACTGCAGGTTTCCCCAACATGAAAAACAGAGCTTTGTTATCCAACCCTGGAACATCACCAAGTTATCCTGCCTGTATAGTTCTGTTAGTTGTTCTGGTAATTATTGTTGTGTCTCTTGTTGCTTATTGTATATACATACAAAAGCTACTACAAAAACAAAGAAGCTATTATCATTACTGCTGCCGTTTGAATTGTTATTGATAAAGAAGACAGATGATTAAAGAGAGAAAGAAACTGATGTTGAGCTTCATCTTCAATCTCCACAACTGAGGTGTGAGTCAGACAATCTAAGGACAGACATAAATGAGCTCTCCTGAACATCCAGCAGACTGCTATAGAGGTCAAACACGATTATCATCATGTTCACCATTAAAGTTTCTGCTGTGACTTTTTTCAGGTTCAGTTTAAAATCATTGTTCTTATTACTGTGGCCTTTTGGAGTGAGGCCTCTACATTACTGAACTGCTCCACTCCTGACTTTGATTTTGTACCAAAAGTAAGAGAGACTGTGCCTTAAAAACCAAACTTTACCTCGAAATTTTTTAAAGACTTTGCTACTTAACTTTGACGTCTTCACTCTCTGGCCTTCATTAAACACTTTTTTTTTTGTTTTGGTTTTTTTGTTTGTTTTTTGCTCAGTTTATGTGTCCACTGTGCCTTTATAAACACTTAAAAAACTTTTTTATATATATAAATATTTTTAATAAAAAACATTTTTTAGAGACAATTATTTTAGCAGTATGCAGGTGTTAATAAAGAGTTACAGTGGGGCAAAAAAGTATTTAGTCAGCCACCGATTGTGCAAGTTCCCCCACCTAAAATGATGACAGAGGTCAGTAATTTGCACCAGAGGTACACTT